GAAATCTGAGTCGGTTTGTAAGAAAAACAGTGGACTTTAGGATGCGTGATGGGTTAGCAATCTTCTTTCGCTGCTTTGTTTCGAGAGGGATCAGATTTTTTTAAAAGATCTTTCTATTTTCGGATTTTTAACAAGTTTCATGATTACGGGAGAGGACCACTAGTCTTTGTTCGCTTTTTAAAAACAATTTGAAACTTGTTATCCTGAAATGTTGGAAACGAGACTTTTCGACTTAGCAGAAGCTTGACAGTTTTGCTGAAGAACTATTCCTTTCTAATAGTTTTGATTTTGAGTGGACTACTGTTACATTGTTTAGATTGATGTTTTGAAATTCCTCTTTTGATTGTTCCTCTTCCCGCTTTTTAGCACTTCGTTTAGGCTTGTATTGCTTTGTGTCATATTTAAAGGTTTTCGAATAAAAATATAATTTTTGCGTTTTTGCTCGCTGAAAACAAATCAGAGGATAAACAGCGATATGTTGCAAACTCGTGTTTCTCAGTTTTGAACATATCCAGGTATATGATAAATTTGTGCTAACCACTAATGGAAAATCTTGTTGAAAGTCAATTTAGGTGCATTCATTTCCATTCGGTGCTTTAGTTAAGGTATTTAACGTTTAGGCATATCAGTTTTTTGTGGAATTGGAGAGCAACTTTTTAGGATTGTAACTAACAGTTAATTTGAGCATTGTTTTGGTGTACACCTTTTCTTACCGCAGGCATTTACTGGGTGTCAGCAATGTCGAATTATGGTGAAACTGATTGCCAACTTGCATAGTTTTTGGATTACAAAAACAAAGGTTGAACTGCCAGCAAAAATGTGAAAAGAAGATTAATTTCTCGATATTAGAAAATCCATCCGCTTTTCAAATATGACAGAACTTGCCAGAAACCAGTAGGCTATTACCGTCGTAGCTACTGATAGTGCAAGAAGTGGTTCACTTTTCTGTAAAGTTAGTCACCCTATTCAACTTAACTAACGTTTATGGCATTATTTCAAGATGGCTAATCCAATCAAAAAAAAACTTTTCACTTTTTTCTAAATTCCATTACATTAACGGACTGAAATAAAATGAAAAAAAAAAAAAACTTGACAAGGTGATCTGTTTGATTTGCTCCCCTTAATCATCAAAAACTTTGCTGTCCAATTGGCAAAAAAATTTTTTTTTTTTTTTTTGCATGTAGGAGTTTAATTCTGTATTAATTATTCAAGAGCAATTTGAAATTTTAATCAATAATCATTATTGTACGATAAAATGGAGAAGTCGTAATTGACCGTGCACCTATCATTTTTATTAAAATTGTAGTTTTAATAATGGTGTGTAACAGCAACAAATTTTCAATAATTTCAAATCCACAATACAAAGAACAGAAATATTTGATGCTGAAAAATTTTAGAACAAAGGAAAATGTAATTACTGAACGGATAGTTAAAACTGCGACAATAAGAACAAAGAACGGCGGAGTTTGAAACCGCATGCAACACCGATGACCTCGTTTTCCGTGATATAAATTGGTAAACCTGACCAAGTTTTTAGCAACTCTATTAAAGCCGTTAATGTTTTTGCAAGTTTCCTCTTTTTCGTTTCCATTTTTTCATCCTCATTAAATTACAACCATTTTCCATCTTGCTGAAGTTTTTATTCGGCCTAGTAGCCAAAGGCTACTGTACGTATCTCTTAAGAACAACTTTTCCTCACTGTTCAATGAATACCCTTCCACCTAAAAGGGAAAAAGTTCTTATGAAGGTTACTCATCTACTTATCTTTATAGTTACAGAATGAAAGTATATATAGCGACCTTCAGCGCGTCTGTTACAAGCGCAGTTGCTCTGATTGCATGTCTGATCGGATCCTCAACTCTTTATATTCACGTCAGCGACCTTTGGAATGAGCTTGACTACGAAATCCAAGCCTTCAAGGTTTGCTAAGTTCCTCTTGAATCCCATTTAATGGTAAATTTTTCGAGCCACAATTTATTTATGTGCCTGTGCACCTTGCTTTCCTATAGCAGTAAAGTTTACTTCTCAGGATTATTGAGAAAAATATGAAGTGCTAGTTGCTATTCTGATCCTATTAAAAGAAAGGAACATGCGAATAGAAGTACTGTATTTAATTAATGAAAGGATTCTTGTTTAACTGATAAATAATTTTTCTTCAAGACAAGCACAGATGACAGCTGGAAGGAAATGGTTCAACTGGTGTCAACACACAGTCAGCGAATGCGCAGGGACAATTCCGCAACCGTGCAAACAGACTTGAAAGTTGTTTCACCAGGCGTCAACGTAGGAGGACCACCAGGATCGTTGCCTCTAGCAGGCCAAGATTCTCCAGGATTGAAAGGAAAATGCGGTTAGCTGCCATTTTTTTACTGCTGACTCAAGGGGAGGTTTCTAAGTCGATTTTTGGAATGAATTACGAGGGAAAGTGTGAAAATAGTCGCGCATCAGGATGTATTTGATGCTGCAGAACCACGAAGATATGGATCCCGAAAACCGTATTGCTGTTCAGGTTTTAGCTGGTGTTTAATTTATGACTGCAAATATATCATTCAGTACAATGTTATGATATTATTACACGTAGTATCAATTAATTTTAGGATGTAATGCAGATAACAAATGTCCCGCTGGTCCTCCCGGTCCAAAAGGCCAACCTGGACTAAAGGGCCCAGATGGCGTACCTGGTCAAAAAGGCGCACCAGGGAAAGACGCACAAAATATTCATGCTCAAAAGCAATACGATGGCTGCTACTACTGTCCGCCTGGTCCCCAAGGTCCACCTGGGGCTATGGGACGTCCAGGTGTTCGTGGTTTAGCCGGATCCCCAGGACCAGCAGGATTGCCAGGAAAGAATGGAAATCCAGGACTTCCTGGCGAACATGGGGCTCCAGGAGCACCAGGTATGTGCAACTAAATGGTACTATTTATGTTGTCGGAACCTTAAAAATATTGGTTTAGGTGATGATGGAAGGCCAGGTATAAGTGGTGAAAAAGGCGCTGATTTTCAACATGTCGTCGGCCAGCGCGGTCCAAAAGGGAAACGTGGAGAGCGAGGCGAGCAGGGACTGCCTGGCGACAAAGGTCTTCCAGGAGGTAAAGGAGAAATCGGAATTGCAGGCCCACCAGGTATTGTAAAGGCTCTAACTGTAGCTACTTTTCTGAGTTGTATGAAGCTTTTTCATTGAATGGTGAGATATTGCTCAGGAGAAGTAGGACCTCGCGGTGCCAGAGGTGCCAAGGGTGACTTCGGTGAATCGGGACGGGCAGGACGTCCAGGCCAAGATGCAGAGGTATCTTTCTTCAACATTTCAGTTGATTTACACTTTAAACTAAGAAAAGTCCTAAAAAATTCTGTTTCGATTTCTTATGCCATAATAACGATTAGTAGCGAATCAAGTGGAGAAAATAAAGTAGGAACTTCTGTTCCAAAAAGTTAATCAAATAAGTTCCGCAGAGAAAAGGTGGGAGCCTGTTTGTTTACTAACAGAGAACTAATGTCGTTGAAGGCCGCATCGATTCTTCCTTACACTTGTATTAAATTGGTTTCTTCTTGCAGTATTGTCCTTGCCCCGTGCGACATTTGCAGAGTCTACCACAATTCAATGGTCAATAGCACACGTAAATCAAGAGCGAAAGATATATGACTATTCAAAGGTTTAACAGATATTGTTCCAATGACCGTCCCATCATTAATAGGAAATTGACTGTAGATCTCGCTAAATTCATTTATAGACGGTGAAGCATATTTTACTAATAAATTATTGAATAGTGTGTAATCTATAGGCAGTATTATTCTAGAAGGTTAATAAAAGTGGAACCGTCTGGGGGAAGTGGGATTTGCTGTGTGCTTTTCTGCCAGTGGATCACTCTGTAGCCAGTGTGTCAAGGAAGTAGAAAGTGCGAAAAAAACCTCTAATTGTCTCTTTTCACAAGTTTCAGCTTTATTTACAATAGAACAAAAAAAAAAAAAAAAAAAAAA